TCACCTCGCTGTGAGCCCAAGTTTGCAAGCATTATATGAAGGCATGGAACGTGTCCATATCACCCATATCCATGACAAGTATCCTCTTTGCCATAAACCCATTCACATACTCTTGAATGGTTCTAGTCTGCTTTAGCCTACTCAGCTTATCCTTTAGGTGTAGAGTAGCATTCGGAGGAACATAAGTCGTGTAGATCATCATTCCCCAAGTGGCCACTGGTCCTTTGTTGGCCTTTGTTGTTCTCCACCAAGACTTGGTATTATCTGCCAAATATGGTTTTGCACATGGGACCTTCTCCAAGCTCGATAACTGCAGCACTCGGAAGTAGTCCTCTATATCATAAAACCAATCTTCTACCACCTTATAGTCATTCACTCCCTTAAAGACTGGTGGGAGCTTTAGTTTGTACTTGGGAACTGCTTGAGGGACTGATTCTGCTTCGGTCTATTTGACCTTGTTTGATTCTGCCTTAGTCTCTACTAAAGGGTCTGCACCTTCTACGTTGCTAACATTTGTAGTTTTTTGTTTTTTCTTCCGCTTCTTGTCACGCTTTCACTTGCATATGAGAGTCACTAGCAGGGCATTGGTCTATGCCAATTGTCCTTCTAGAACATCCAATCAAGACTTGGACGACTGAACCTCACCACTAGACTCCTGTTTGGAAGTTTCCTCATTGGAATCCTTCTCGTGCAAGGATTCCTCATCCGTTCTTGTTCAACCAAAGGCTCTAGCTCTGAAGGAGGTTCCATCTCCGCCTTGGTTTTCCTATGCTCTGCCTTTGCCATCTCTCAACAATCCGCTTCTATCCTTAGCTAGAACTGAGGAAAAGGCTCCAATACCAAATTGTAAGCCATAAATTTTCCCTTTCTAATTTGCCAGTTTACCTCATTTATCCAACCAACACCACCTTGGCCTTAGCTAAGTTCCCTCACCAAGGTTCTTGCCTATTGTACTAGTTCTTACTTGGTCCTACTTGGTTTCAACAACTCATTACATAAATAACGGAGCATTAGCTATCCATCCACAGATTCCCAATCTCTCCCAATCCCCCTCCACAGGTTAAACTAGACTTAAGGTTTGGCTACACTCCCTGCAAACACAAGCAGTGAAGCACACTAAGCCTTTAGGTTCTTAACATCCCTTGGTCCAACAAGATTTTATCATGGGACCCTCTAAATCCCAAGCCTTGGGTGCAACACTTGCTTCGGGATGCCGGGGGGAAACACTGTGGCCTAATAACCTGGTATGGGTACCTTTACTCCCCCACTTCCATCCCGAAGGGAAGGCCCAAGCCCCTAGGAAGGGTGAGGACCAATGAGCTGCAAGGTACTCAAGTGGGGCACCACTCCTTCTTTGGGTGGCCCTCTAGCACCACTTGAATGCATGCTCACTCCCACCCAAGGCCCCTCAACCCCAATCTCAACCTCAAGTCAGTTTGGAAACACCATTGGAGAGTTCCTTCAAAATTGGTTCCTGAAACTCACTATCCCTACTATATTATTGGAACCCCCTGCAGCACCCCCCCCGGGAGACACATGCTTTGGGCTTTCACCCCACGACTTGTATTAGTATTTGGACTTGGTCTCAAACTCGATCTCAGACTCGACTTCGGACTCGGTCTTAGACTTGATCTCGGACCCAACCTCAGACTCCATCCCGAACTCAATCTTGGACTAGGACTGTAGAGTCGTATAAAGCCAGTAAATGAGAGAGAAATACTGACTTTGGTGGTTTCCATGTGAAGAGTGAAGCTGCCAAACTTCCCTCGTTGCTACATGCTGAAAGCAGTAGCTTCACTTGGCCCACCGTGAGGGGTCCCCAGGCAAGAGGGGGAGGATACTCTGCCAGATCACAGCCATATATGCTCAAGCTTTGCTCAAAGTATCGGTCCCAGTCCTCCTTCGACAAGTCTACAGCTTCCATCCTGTAACACTCGATAACTCCGCGTTCAATCTCTCTCAGCTCCTCCAGTTCGTTGCTAGGCTGCGATTCGACTTGAGATATGCGGTTTCTGATGAAGGCCAGCGCAGTCGCACAGGCAGGCCCCTGAAGATACATATAACGTAAGAACGAAAACAAGGCAAGCACATAAAAATACCTCGTCCCGCCCGGGTAGCGTCACAAAGTATAATGAGCGGACAAGTTGTTTAACGATGTCAAGCAAAGGGCTCGAGCTCTCACTGATCAGCAAAAGGTTAGACAGTTAGAAAGAAAACTTCAAGGCCCCAATCATGCTTACAGCTGCTCGACGAGTGAAGAAGGTACGCTTCGCCAGCCGAGCTCGAGAGCAGCTCTGGCGCTATCTTTGTCCTTGAAGTCAAGAAAAGCGTCCCATGATGAAGCCATCTCTGGTGGTTCATTTTCCCATTTTGCACCAGTTGGAGGTGTGACTCGAGGGACTGTGATCACACTTCGTAGAATGACCTGAGCGAAGCATACAAGTCGACGGATCTCAGCAATCGAAACCGACGCGCTAGCACTCAGAGCTTCAATGTCATGGAGGTTGTCGCAGCGGGAGACGTAAAGAATGGCCAGGAAGTAGAAGAGGTCGGCATCGTAAGCCTCCGGGCGCCAGTAATCGGTACCCCAAATAGAAGTAGCAGCGTGAAAACACTCGGCTTCACGGAGATCGTCCTCAGCTAACTTGACTAACTCATCCTCCACCTGTTTAGCTTTCAAGTAGCGCAGCGCCTGCCATTCCCTTGCCGATCTCCTATACAAACCTGACCTCGGGTCCAAACATTCTGCCTCTAGAAGCCGGTCTATCGCCATAACGTTAGGGCTTTTCACACCGCTAACTTTTTAAATCGGGCGATCTTTATAAGGGTTTCAAGCCAACTAAACGATTGAGACTAAACGATCGAGACTAAAAACAGTACTTTTTGTACATAGTATTGTCCATGTTACAAAAAACGTCGTCCTAGCCTAGTTATTTATCACATCCTGCCATCAAGCCGAAATTGCCTCTTGCTTTATAGAGTATCTAAACGATTCTTTTCTACCTTGCAATGGGTGGTGCTTCTTTCATGTGTAAGCCCTACATTCCAAGTTATTAGTTTGGAATGTACTGCTGTTCTGTCAACTTTATGAAGATCGTACTATACAGTTTAATAAATCTAAAGTTATCAGAGTTCTAGATGAATTCTATGACGTGATAGAGGGGTCCAGTACCTCTAAGCACAGATAAACTCCTACATAAACTTAGAAATCACTTTGGAATCAGCTATTCTCCTGTTATGGGGTCCACAACTTAGTGTGTACATAAGCACATCTTATCATCGAATGCTCACAGCACCATGTTTCGTGTAGGGTTGCAAGTGGCCTCCAGATCTTTCTCGTCCGCGGCACCTGCTAAGGTAAGCTAGAAAAGATTTTAAAAGTTTCTCACGGGCTCTATGATCAAACCCAGAAGCTCAAGGTTGTAGGAGTTTTCTACAAAGGAGGAGAGCATGCTGCCAAAAACCCCAAATTCATTGGGAATGTTGAGAATTGCCTGGGAATTCGGCAGTGGCTCGAGGATCAGGGCCATGACTACATTGTGACTGATGACAAAGAGGGCCCAAGTTGTGGTAGGCTAATTTTTTTGTTATAACATTTCTCGGAGCACATAGCGACATTTTGATTCTGTTTTTGGTTTTGGCTAGAGCTGGAGAAACACATCCCAGACATGGATGTGCTAATCACCACACCATTCCATCCCGGCTACATGACTGCCGAGCGGATCCAAAAGGCCAAAAACCTCAAGCTAGCACTCACTGCAGGGATTGGCTCTGACCACATTGACTTGACGGCTGCCTCCAAGGCTGGCATCACAGTCGCAGAAGTCACAGGTAGCTGACTGGGCTTTTCGACTCTGACCCAAACCATCAAACACGGTCTTTGCATTGACGATCTCCCAGGGTCAAATGTGGTCTCGGTTGCGGAGGACCAGCTCATGCGTGTCTTGATCCTTTTGCGCAACTATCAGAATGGGTGGACCCAAGTCAACGCTGGCGGCTGGGACGTTGCAGAGATCGTTTCAAAGGCCTACGATGTGCAAGGCAAAACCATTGGCAGTGTGGGAGCTGGAAGAATTGGGTACCATTTGCTCAAGCGTCTCAAGGTATTACTTTTAACGAAGTTTTAAGGCTCGCCACCTTTGTTACATCCATGCAGGCGTTCGATTGCAACCTTTTGTATTACGATCGGGTGGCCATGCCCAGTGACAGGGAGAAAGAGACTGGGGCGACGCGCGAGGCCGACTTGGACACAATGCTGGCCAAGTGTGACGCGGTGGTGATGAATGTGCCGCTCACTGAGAAAACCAGGTAATGATATATGCTGAAAGAAATGATCATACATTAGTTTTCTGACATTTGTGACATTTGTGACAGGGGATTCTTCAACAAGGACCGCATAAGCAAAATGAAGAGAGGTGCGGTTTTAGTGAACAATGCGAGAGGAGCCCTCATGGAAGCAAATGCGGTGGCGGAAGCGTGTAAATCTGGACACCTTGGAGGTCTCTCTTTTCTTCTATTCTTCTGCTGTGATTTTGTTTGATCTTGGGAACGTGATCTAGGCTACGGTGGCGATGTTTGGTACCCGCAGCCTCCTCCGAAAGATCACCCATGGCGATCCATGCCAAACAACGCAATGACTCCTCACGTCTCTGGATCGACGCTCGACGCCCAGGCTCGCTACTCGGCCGGCGTCAAGGAGATGCTCCGCCGCTACTTTGTTAACGAGGAATTCCCTGCGGATTATTACATTGTCAAAGACGGCAAGATCGCACCCCAGTACTTATAAATTCTCAAGTGAGTTCTCAAATAATGCAAAAACAAATAATAATTATAATAAGATATTATTATAATTATGAATTCTTATATTTAAATTTAAATTAGTATAAATAAACAGCCTTATAACAAAATAGTCATACTTAAACCTCGGAATATCTGTTCAACAGAAAATGTGTCCTAGAATATGCTCGTGGTGTTTTAGACTGGCTATTCTTTCCCGGGCAACCGCTGGAAAGAGGGCCAGGGCGCCCCGCGGCTATGGAGGATGACGAAGAGCGCGGCGGCCAGGCTCGGATTCTCCACGGCGATGTCAAGACCGCCTCGTTCCCGGTGCGCGCCAATGCGCTCATGGCGAAGAATCTCGTGTTCCAGGTAAATCTCCCAGCTGCATTCCAGGGTTTGGATTCTCAGATCTTCCGCAGCGGCGAAGCTGGAAGACGAATGCTTGCCTGGTCATGTTTCCGGCATTGCTGTGCTTGCTGCTGTTTGGGATCCAGAAGATCGTCGATACGCTGATGAGAGAGCCGGCATTTACCTGTGGGTGTATGTGTGTTCCAGTGTCATCGGGCGACTGTGAGACACGGTGTGGCGTGGAGTACTCGGACAATGTCCAAGCCGTGACTTGCCCAGTTCCATCGCCTTACAAGATCCCCGCGATGATGCAAATATCGAGGAGACCCTTTCAGGCTGTTAACTTTGGAGGGGAGTTCCCAGGTTTTCCTGATCCATCGTGCCGGACGTTCTGGAGCTGTCCATACGTGTTTGTCTACACCGGGCAGAATCGATCCATCGCAGACCGTAAGTAGAGTTTTCTTTTTCTTGTTTTGGTCATGTAACTTCTATTGTTTCCTTTCCTTGCAGAAATCACGAACCAAATGCTGAATGACGAACTGGATCTCGGAAATCCGCTTTCTTCTCTTGTTCCAGTATGTCTTTTTTTCTTGGAACTTTAGATTTCTTATGCTGATGAGGACGTGTGCTTAGCGGTTTTGATACGTCCAGGCTAGTTTCAGAAGGCCGCCGCTTGCTTATTTCATGGAGCCAGGATTGCCCAACCATTTCTATGTCTTGCGTCGAGACTGCTCGAACTACAACGGCCAATGGATAGCTCCGTGTACGTAAGAACATACTTTACATTTCTCAGGTTGCATAAGAATGGTTTATCTCTGTAGGCATTCCCACGCTTTTGCTGTGGCGGGAAGATAGACGGATCATAGACAAGGAAATTTACAGAGGCTACATGAAAGGAAACGAACACAGATGGATCAATGAGATTCCTGCAGGTAAGATTTATAGTTTTCTTGTGATGCCTCTAGAGCTAACTTGCTAAAACTTGCAGCGTATGACTTTCAAAGCACGAGCTTGCAGAAGCTCGATGTAAATATCTTTTATAACGCAACATATGCTGGTGACATTCGAATGGAGTTTCCAGGAATACTTCGAGTTGCTCGTAGCCTGAATCTGGTATGTTCCTTTCCCGGTTGTAATTGTCCTTCATTCACGAGTTTTGAGTTTTGCAGGTCACAGAGGCCTTTCTAAAAACTATCCTGGGTTCAGTTGCTCGGTTGCCACTGCTGTTTATAAAGGAGATGCCAAAGCCAGAGACGAGATATGTTTTAGATTTTTCTTCGTTGCTTGGTCCCCTTTTCTACATGTGGGTTGTCCAGCTTCTACTTCCAGTAAGTACGCTCGGTTAATAATCTTTTGGACTCTTTGACGATAAGAGACGAAGGCTCATTTTGCAGGTGATGCTGACTTACCTGGTTTATGAGAAAGAACGAAACCTTCGTATGATGATGAAAATGCATGGTCTGGGAGATGGTCCATACTGGCTCATTACATACGCTTATTTCCTTGCGCTTTCAACCTTGTATATTATTTGCTTCATTTTGTTTGGCTCTCTTGTCGGTATGGTTTTCCTGATTTCATTCACTGGAACGTGAATCACTGTGGCAGGCTTGCAGTTTTTTCGGCTCAACGACTACTCTCTTCAGTTTACTTTTTACATGGTGTATATGAACTTGCAAATAGCTTTATCCTTCTTTGGCGCCACACTGTTTTCTCGAGTCAGCACAGCCACAGGTATGTCGGTGCAAACATTTGTTACTCTGTTATTTACCTTCGGATGCGCAATGCAGTTTGCGGGTACCTGTATGTTTTTGCCTTCGGGTTGCTAGGAGCTTTTCTCTTCCAAAATTATGTCGAGGACGTGCATACTAGCAGTACGCGTTTGCCTTTGTGCTTTCTGGTGTATTGTCTTATTGTTACTTGGTTTTAGGAGTGTTTATATTCTTGTTGGAACTATTACCTGGTTTTTCTCTTTATCGCGGCCTCTATGAATTTGCACAGTATGCGTTGGTCGGTGGGAAACAAGGAACTCATGGCATGCGCTGGAAAAATATCCACGATCGCGAGAATGCCTTCAAGCAGGTTGTTACAATAATGGCAGTCGAGTTACCGATCTTTACGATTTTAGCATTATATCTAGATCAAGTAGTTTCATCTGGAAGCGGGTTGAAGAGGCACCCTTTGTTTTTCCTGAAGCGATATTTTCCCAGGCCTCAAGAAAATATTATTTCTCGAGTGTCTGAAGAAGGCGAACAAAAGCCAGATATTGCCAGAGAGGTATCTGCTTACAAAGTTGTGAGAGTACTTGCTTAATGCTTTTCTTGATAGGTACAAACTGTGCAAAGCTTAAGGGATGGGAATACGTCACTCTATTCGGTAGTTTGTGATGATCTGAAGAAAGTTTATATTGGGAAGGATGGCGGTCTTAGTAAATATGCTGTGCGCGGTTTATCATTGGCTATAGAGCGCGGAGAGTGTTTTGGGATGCTGGGACCAAATGGTGCAGGGAAGACGTCGAGTATCAACATGGTGACCTTTCTTTTCTTTTCACTCGATGTGAAGCTGTATATAACGTTCCTGCAGATGATTGGATTCCTTACACCTTCGTCTGGAAAAGTATATATCGATGGCAGGGACATTTCCAAAGACATGGATAAGCTGTACGCGGTCATGGGAGTTTGTCCTCAGCACGAGTAAGGTGTTCACTAACTAGTGCTCTCTAACATTTCCTCGTTACTTTGGCAGTCTGATATGGGAACTATTGACTGGACGAGAGCATCTCCTCTTTTATGGCAGGCTAAAGAGCTTGAAAGGGTCTGCGCTTGAAAATGTGCGTATGTAACTGCTTAGTTCTATGCTTAATAACTCGTTGTTTTCTGCAGGCTGTGCAAGCGTCGTTGAAGAGCGTGGGCCTTTTTAATGGAGGTGTTGGCGACAAGAAAGCTGGGACATACAGTGGTGGGATGAAACGCCGGTTGAGTGTAGCTATATCCTTGATAGGAAATCCAAAGGTGAATGCCATCTCAGCACGATCACTAAACTTTCCTTGTTTCTGTGAAGGTTGTTTACATGGACGAGCCTAGTACAGGATTGGATCCAGCCTCGAGGAGGACACTCTGGAACGTGATAAGACAGGCCAAAGAAGACAGGGCCATCGTACTTACAAGTAATCTCTTTTTTTAACATGTATATTGTGCCTTAACTCTCCAGTACTCTCACTGCAGCGCATTCTATGGAGGAGGCAGAAGCATTATGCGACCGGATCGGAATTTTTGTCGAAGGAAAACTACAGTGCATCGGCAGCTCCAACGATGTAAGCGGTGCACGATTTTGTTTTTCCTCTTTTCAACGCCACGAGTGTGACTTCCAGCTCAAATCGAGATACGGTGGCTCATACACTTTTACAGTCACGACGAGCCCGTCCAAGGAGCTGGAGGTGGTGGGGCTGGTTCACACTTGGTCACCTCGAGGAAAGAGAACATACAACCTTTCCGGCACGCAGAAATTCCAGCTACCGAAGGAAGGCGTGGAGCTGTCACGGGTGTTTAGAGACACAGAGAACGCGAAAGAGACGCTCGAGCTACAAGCGTGGGGCCTGGCGGACACAACCCTGGAGGACGTGTTCATCAAAGTGATGAAGGAGCTCAAGCAGATGTGATGGAGAAGAAGGTCGTGGGGGTGTTTGAATACGAATATCCGCTTGTACATGGCGGTTCACGATTGCGGGAACCTCAACGGTGGATCTTCATCGACTACGAGGCATTCGAAGTATTTTTTCCTGGGTGCATGACCGATGAGGCTTAGTGCTTCTCTCGAGATCCAGCTCGTGGAAGACGCGGGAAACGCAGGATCAAAGCGATGCCGCTGCCGGAGACACGGTCGCATTCTCGACTCAAGCCAATGCGTTGCTCCGCAAAAATCTAGTTTTCCAGGTAAAGTTTACTTGACGGCGCACCTGAGTTTCTCTTTTTTCTTCCGTCGAACCATGAATTCCGATTTCCAGAGACGGCGATGGCTGCTAGTGCTCCTCCCGGGGCTGCTGTGAGTTTTGCGCTTTGCAATGCAAAAGATAATTGACTTCGAGAACAACAAAGCCTCCAACAAGTGCGGCTGCGGTTGCGTGCCTCGCAACGATTCCAGCGGCGCTTGCGACAGAGTCTGTGGCAATGAGTATTCCACCGACAGGCAGGCGCTCACTTGCTCGGTTCCGTCGCCTCCGGAGGCCCCGGCCATGCTTTAAGTCCCAGATGCAAGATACCGAGCCGTCAACTTTGAAGGAAAGTTTCCTGGATTCCCAGATGTGACTCCGGATCTTGCGATTTAGTGCTCCTGTACACTGGGAGGAATCGATCATTGGCCGACAGTTAGTAGACGATCGAGAGATTGATTTCAGCCGACTAAAGATTTGATTGTCGCTTGTGCAGCACTGACGGATTATTTACTGAGCAATGGCTTCAATGCGTCTGCTGATCCCATCTTGTCAACTATCGTGCCAGTATATTCACGTTTTTCTTTTCACGGCAGCAAAGTATCTCACTTCATTGTCTTGGCGGCCAGGGAATATCTAGAAAAGTTTCATTGTCTTACTTTTTGGAGTCAATTTCCTGCACACAAGCTCTACAGAAGCTGGATCTCGTTGTCTACTACAACTCAAGCTATAGAGGCGATGTTGTCCGTATTCTTCGGGTTGCTCGAAGCATGAATATAGTAAGCTCTCTAAGCTTCTCACGTTTTGGATTAATTTTTTCACTTGCAGGTTGGTTCAGCGTTTCTGAAACGTTGCTTGGCAGCTGCCTTTGGCTCTTCGGAAAGAAGTGCCGAAGAAACTATTTATAAACCTCACAGCCCTCTCTTTTATATGTGGGTAGTACAGCTTTTATTTCCGGTAAGTTAACAGTCCATAGTACTTATATGCTTAGCTCCGTGGCTTTTGCAAGCGTAGGTGATTTTGATCTCCTTGGTTTATGAGAAAGAACGAAGGCTTCGAATGATGATGAAAATGCATCGATTCGGAGACGACCCCTACTGGTTTATCAACTACGTTTACTTCCTTGTGTTTTCCATGTAGTTCTTTTTCATGATTTTTGGCTATGCCATCGGTAAGCTCATTTGCATCTGCAATATTCCGCTTGACGACCATCCTTTTCTAGGCTTGGACTTTTTCAAAAAGAACTGTTACAGCATACAGTTTATAGTTTACTTTGTCTACATGAACATGAGAATAGCTATGGCTTTTCTGGCGACGAGACTGTTTTCGGATGTTTTGACTGCCACAGGTTTGATATTGTTTTCATTTTCTAACTCAAGTTCTTTCCTTTTCATAGTTTGCGGGTACTTGTACGTTTTTGGGTTCGGGCTGTTAGGAACGTTTCTCATGGTAGTATATCGAGGACATGACTATTAGCAGTAAGTGAACGCATGAAGATTTTTTCAATCCAACTTCTGTCTTTTTTAAAAATTGTCTCAGGAAAGATATCTCTGCGACCGAAATACTTCCTCCCTATACGTATTCTCGCAGTACGCGTTGCCGGGATCGAGGGCTGGTACAAAGGGAATGGAATGGAAGGACCTCGATAATGGATTGCGGGAGATTCTTCGAATGAATTATTTTCCTAGTTCTGGCACATTACCTGGATAAAGTGATTGCTTCGGGCTACGGGCTGAAGAGAAGGCCATTGTTTTTTCCACAAGTCGGCAGCTGCAGCCAGACCATCTAAGCAGGCCAGATGTTGCAAACGAGGTATGTATCTCTTCAACATGAAACGTACCTGACCTTTGCGTTATGTAGAGAGCAATCGTTACCATCAAGGTGGAAAGAACGAGTGGAAAGAACGGCTGGGCATCCAAGCGTGGGGATTGGCAGATACCACGCTAGAAGATGTTTTCATCAAATTAGCAAACAAGTAAAACTCTACATTCAAACTGGCTGTAAGGCGGAAACCTGGAATACTTCGAGTTGCATGAATCTGGTATGTTTCTTTCCCGGTTGTAATTTCCCTGTATTGACGAGTTTTGCCAGGAGATGAGAGACGAGATATGTTTTAGATTTTTCTTCGTTGTTTTCTACTTATGGGTTGACATCCAGCTTCTGCTTCCAATAAGTACGCTCGTTTAGTAATCTATTTGCATGTTTGACGATAAGAGACGAAGATCCATTTTGCAGGTGATGCTGATTGCGAGAAGAACGAAACCTTCGTACATGGATGATCCATAAATCTTGTATAGTATTTGTTCGGCTCTCTTGTCGGTAAGGTTTTCCTGATTTCAGTCACTGGAATGTGAATCACTGTGGCATGCTTGCAGTTTCTTCGCTCACTCTCTTCAGTTTAATTCGTACATGGTGTATATGAACTTGCAAATAGTTTTATTCTTCGTTGGCGCAACACTGTTTTTTCAAGTTAGCACAGCCAGAGGTATGTAGATGCAAACATTTGTTACTGTGCTATTTACCTTCGGATGAGCTATGCAGTTTGCGGGTACTTGTGTGTTTTTACCTTCGGGATGTTTGTACTTGTATGTCCAGCTCAAATCGAGATACGGCAGCTTGTTCACTTTCACAATCACGACGAGCCCGTGAGGCCGTGGGGGTGTTTGAATCCGAATATCCGCTCGCACGTACGGCTCACGTTTTGCGGGAACTCAACGGTAGATCTTCATTGACTACGAGGCAGCCGAAGTTTCGTTCTTGGGGGGCATGACCGAGTGAAGGATTTGGGGGCGATTGAAAAGTCGGGGCCTTAGGGCTTCTCTCGAGCTCCAGCTCGTGGAAGACGCGGGAAACGCAGGATCAGGGCGATGCCGGGGGGTGCCGTGCTGGAGACGCAGTCGGAATTGCCTGCTGCTACATTCTCGACGCAAGCCAATGCGTTGCTTCGCAAAAATCTAGTTTTCCAGGTAAGAGTTTCGAGCTTTTTCTTTCTGTCGGCGAGCTTCTTCGAACGATTTTATTGATTTCCAGAGGCGACGATGGAAAACCAGCTTGCTGCTGGTGCTTTTCCCGGGGCTGCTGTGCGTTTTCCTGTTCACGATGCAAAAGATCATCGACTCCGAGAACAACAAAGCCTCCAACAAGTGCGGCTGCGCTTGCGTGCCTCGCAACGATTCCAGCGGCGCTTGCGACACGGTCTGCGGCGTTCAATATTCCACCGACAGGCAGGCGCTCACTTGCTCGGTTCCGTCGCCTCCGGAGGTCCCGGCCATGCTTCAAGTCCCAGATGCAAGATACCGAGCCGTCAACTTTGAAGGAAAGTTTCCTGGATTCCCAGATCCACGATGCCGTGACTCCGGATCTTGCGATTTCGTGTTCCTGTACACTGGGGGGAATCGATCATTAGCCGACGGTTAGTAGACGACCGAGTGAGTGATTCTAGTCTGACGAAAAGTTTTATTCTCTGTTGTGCAGCACTGACGAGTAATTTACTAAGCGACGACTTCAATGCTTCTCCCGATCCCATCTCCATCTTGTCTACTATCGTGCCGGTATGTTATGTTTTTCTTCTCAAGGCTGCCAAGCATCTCACTTCATTGTCTTGGCGGCCAGGGAACATCCAGAAAAGTTCCATTCTCTTACTTTTTGGAAGACGCATTGACAAAAAACTTCAGCATTTTGTTGCGTGACTGCACGAACGCCATGGGAATTCCATGTAACCCTTTCTTTTTTTCATTTCTATCGTTTTTGTGATCAAGAATTGTGTCAGGTGTTCCAACCGATATGGTTTGGAGAGACTCTAAGCAATTGATCGAGGAGGATATCTATGACGGCTACAGAAGAGCGAACCCTGAAAGGTTCATAAATGAAATAACTTTGGGTGAGACGCTGGTATTCTTTGTTCGTAGTACTAATACACGAATACACTTTCACCACGTAGCTTACAACTTCCTGGACACAAGTTCTCAGAATCTGGATCTCGTTGTCTACTACAACTCAAGCTATAGAGGCAACGTTGCAAGTAATGCTAATTCGGTTCTTCTTCGGGTTGCTCGAAGCATGAATATAGTAAGCTCTCTAAGCTTCTCACCTTTTGGATTAATTTTGTCCCTTGCAGGCTGCTTCATCGTTTCTGAAAATGTTGCTTGGTCCTTCAACACAGCTGCCTTTGGCTTTTATGAAAGAAATGCCTAAGCAAGAATCAAAACTACTGATAAACTTCACACTGCTGCTTGGCCCTCTCTTTTATATGTGGGTGGTGCAGCTTTTATTTCCGGTAAGCTAACAGTCCATGATTACTATATTCTTTGCTCTGTGGCTTTTACAACTGCAGGTGATTTTGGTCTCTTTAGTTTATGAGAAAGAACGAAGGCTTCGAATGATGATGAAAATGCATGGTTTAGGAGACGGCCCCTACTGGTTTATCAACTACGTTTACTTCCTTGCCTTTTCGATATTGTACATACTCTTTCTCATGATATTTGGTGCTGCCATCGGTAAGCTCATTTTCATCTGCGGTATTCTAGTTGACGAGCATGCTTTTCCAGGCTTGGACTTCTTCAGACAGAACAGTTACAGCATACAGTTTGTATTCTACTTTGTCTACATGAACTTGCAAATAGCTATGGCTTTTCTTGGGACGGCACTATTTTCACATGCTTTGACTGCCACAGGTTTGATAGTTTCATGTTTTTTTACTTTCTCTCAAGCTCTTTACTTTCATAGTTTGCGGTTACTTGTACGTTTTTGGGTCCGGGCTGTTAGGATCGTTTCTCATGGAAAACTATATCGAGGACACGAATATTAGCAGTAAGTGAACGTTTGTAGATTTTTTCATCATAACTTGAACGTTTCTCAGGAAAGATTATCTTTGCGACCGAAATACTTCCTGGTTTCGCTCTCCATCGTGGCCTATATGAATTCTCGCAGTATGCGTTGCTGGGATCAAGTGCTGGTGAAAAGGGAATGGAATGGAGGGACCTTGCAGACCACGATAATGGATTGCGGCAGGTTCTTGCAATAATGCTCGTCGAGTGGATTATTTTCCTGGTTCTTGCACAATACCTGGATAAAGTGGTTGCTTCCGGGTGCGGGTTGAAGAGAAGGCCCTTGTTTTTCTTGGAAAGGTTTTTCCAAAAGTCGGCAACTGTAGCAAGTGATACAGATGATATAAGCAGACCCGACGTTGCAAATGAGGTATGTATCTCTTCGACATGAAAAGTACCTGATCTTTGCGTTACGTAGAGAGCAATTGTTGAGACGTTAAGGACTGCTAGCAATTCATCCTTTGCTATCATATGTGACGACTTGAAAAAGATATACGCTGGTAAAGATGGAAATCCGGATAACTACGCAGTTCGAAGTTTGTCGCTGGCTATACGGCGTGGAGAATGCTTTGGTATGCTAGGTCCAAATGGTGCTGGAAAGACTACTAGCATCAACATGGTAAGAATTCTTTTCCATTTTCATATCGCGAAAAAGACTGACTTTGCTATTGCGATAGATGATCGGGTTTTTGACTCCATCCTCAGGAAAGGCATTTGTTGCGGGATTGGATATTTCCAAAGACATGGATAAAATCTACACAGTTATGGGTGTCTGCCCTCAACACGAGTAATAACTGAAAAAGACTTCCTTTTTTCCCTTTTATTGGTCTAACTTGAATTTATTTTTGTCCAGTTTGCTATGGGGATCACTGACTGGAAGGGAGCATCTTCTATTTTATGGACGCCTAAAGAATCTCAAGGGTGCTGCTCTGGACTCTGTATGTGTTTGAGTTTCCATTTCCTACCTGCACTCATTTTTTCGGATGTTATCAGGCCGTGGAAACATCTCTGAAAAATGTAAATCTCTTCTATGATGGGGTGGGAGACAGAAGAGCAGGGACATATAGCGGTGGAATGAAAAGACGGCTCAGCGTGGCCATTTCTCTCATTGGACATTCAAAAGTACGTATACACCTTGAAAACTCCGACTGAAAAACTAAAGCGTTGTGGCAGGCGGTTTATATGGATGAGCCAAGCACCGGATTGGATCCTGCCTCACGAAGGACGCTATGGAACGCTATCAAGAAGGCAAAGCAAGATCGTGCTATCATATTAACGAGTAAGTGATTCTTCAAGATTCGCGAGAGAGGATTGTTATCGCTTGTTGTTTTGCAGCACATTCAATGGAAGAGGCAGAAGCCTTGTGCGATCGCGTTGGTATTTTCGTGAAAGGTCAGCTCCAGTGCATTGGCAACACGAGAGAGGTGAGTGAAAAAGAGAGCTCTCACTTTGTTTCATCAATTTTCTTTCCTCCAGCTCAAGTCCAGATATGGTGGCACTTACGTCTTCACTGTGACTGGCGACCCCTCGAAAGAGCAAGAAGTGGGAAATCTGGTGCGCGAGTGGTCGAGTGGTGCAAAACAGGTTTACAACCTCTCTGGCACTCAAAAGTTTGAGATACCGAAGGACGACGTGAAGATAGCTAGGGTGTTTAGAGAAGTCGGCGAGTGGAAAGAGCGGCTGGGCATCCAAGCGTGGGGATTGACAGATACCACTCTAGAAGATGTTTTCATCAAAGTAGCGACCAATTAAACGAGAAAGAAAGAGATCACATGCAGTGCAGCAACCCGTGCATTGCAACTTGTGCACAGATACATACATGCTTAAAGGAAGACCGATGATCGTAGAATATGCCCGAGGCCAAAAATAACAAGCGCGAATAGAATCAATGATCGTCAAAATGACCAAAGGTTTATCGTAAGGAGCATTACACTACCTCAAGCCCGAGCTGGGAATACAAGGGAATTCCATCATGGAAGGCATTGTGGTCGGATCCACCAATGAACCGCCGGTTTCACACCCAATCCTTCCACCAACAGTCCGCTGGAAAGATGAAAAGTAGTTGTGAGTATACACAAAGAACGAAAACCAAGAGGATTCACCTGAGATGTCCGTCTTGTTCCTCAGCCGCTGGAGCACAAGTCTAGCTTCCAATGAACTGCGGCAGCGTGGACAGCGTCTCACGTATCTCCGGAGGAGCAGTCTCGGCAATGTATCACTGTCACTGCGATGCCGAGACCCGAGCCGACCAGCAACCTTGACAAGATCAGCACGGCGACCACAGCATGATCGCAGAGCTCGTGGTGTAGAAAACCGCCGAGAATAGCTCGCTGGCCCAGCCACGATCCAGGCCCCGAGCTAAGGAGAGCTGCGACGAGCGAAGAATGGGTGTTCGAACCGGCTCCACCGAAGACCAAGAACAAAGGTTCGTCGTTTCTCGAGAATGGATCCAGCCAGCACGTTTTGTATACACTGGAAGTCTCGTGGATCGCCAAACCTCTGCTCAAATCCGATCCAACACACAGCAGCTTCTCACAAGCCGGTAGTCTCCTTTTGGAAACCTCATCAATGTGGCTCCCAGCAGCAATCGTGCTACGAGTCCAACGTCGAGAAAGGCGAGGGGATTTCGAAGAAGGTGGGGTGGTGGGAGAGATTGAGGAGCTCTTAACTCCACTGCTGTGACAATGTGCAAGCTCAAAGTTGGCAACATGATGGGAGTTAACTCAGTGTGAATGGGACTACGGTTGTGAACCTGACTGTGAGTGCTGGGATCAGTAGCAGCTGGCACTTTGGAATGGGATAACCAGAGGACCATTGTCAGTGATCAAGAACACCACTAGTTTTTTCTTAACTTTGAAAGAAATTCATTGAAACTTTGAAGCCATAAATTTTTAACATACACCATTGGATCGCTTTGAAACTTTTGAGCATGTTACTCCCTTATCCTCCTAGCTTCTCACCATTTAGATTTCCCATCTGAGCGTTCAACAAAAATTCTGAAGCACTAATAGTAACTAATAAACTTTTCATGTGCTTTGAAACTTGATTAAGTCATTAGATCATACTAAATTTAGTCCACAGATACCCACTAAGGTCCTCTCCAATCCCATCAGAGCAATTTGCAATCCAAGTAGTGGTTCCTCTGCAACATTTGAATCAAAGAGGCAATAAGGCTAGAGTTAAGATTGAGCAGAACTCTATTACAGCCCATTTGGATAGATTTTATAAGTTTGGTGGGAGGTTTGATTTTGCAAGTGATGCCCAAATTTAAAACTCACCCAAAACTTTGGAACCATGAATCTCCAACTTCAACTAGTATGTGCTTCTCCACCTCAACTATGTCTCTATTGCTTAAATTTTGCATCTGATGCCTGAAAATAAACTCTATTGCATTGGTAGAAACTATTAAACTTTTGTTGTGCTCAGAATTTTTGATGTTGATATTTTGTGATTCAGCCATTAGATCTTTATGAAACTTCACTAATAAGTTATTTTATTTCTAAATAGTTCTAAAAAATTTCAGTAATTAATATATCCAAATCTCATTCCATAATCACATAGTCTATTCTCAATAAGGTTTTTGTGGCAATGCTTCTAGTTCTAAGCTCTACCATCGACATTTGTTCTCTATATTGGATTGATTAGAGTTCTAAAGTTTAGGTGAAAAGCTTTGCAAGGCTGATTACTATCTCTAGAGCTTTATATATAATGCCTTGGTGTGTGAGACTACATATCGCAAATGTAACTATAAGCATTAAAATTATTGTAAATTGGGCATAATTAACCAACTTGACATATAGTCTAGCTCTTATTTGTTTGGCTATCCTTATTTTGTATTTAACTTGGGTCTAAGCCTAAACTCTATACCATGTTAACTAATGAAGTATTTATATTTTTATGTTAGGCCACTGGTATGTCGAAATAGTGCCAAACTTCAACCCTTAAAAATTTACCCCCAAAAACGAGTATGCAATTTCATGCTAAATTAAAACACAGCCATCATTTGAGATCTCCATTGGTGACTTCTTGGGTCCATGCAAATTTATGTAGATTGCAATTGGATTTCCCAACCTCTCACCTTGCATAACAACCTAGCACTTCTTTCAAGCTGGTCTTTATATTACCTCCTCATTATAGTCTTTGTGTGTTAGATCCTAAACTTCATTGTCACTGTCCTTGTGATTGTTGTCATTGTATGTTAATCTTGGACTTCGTTGTCATTGTCCTTGTTATTGTTATCATTGTATGTTGGATCTTGGACTTTATTGTCACTATCTTTGTTATTATTGTCATTGTATGTTTGATTTTGGACTTCATTATAACTGTCCTCATCATATGTTGGATCCTAGAAATCTTGGACTTTATTGTCACTGTCCTCACCATTACCTTTAGCATATAGGCTCTATTATTTCCTTTATGTGGATTTACTTAGAAGATGCTGGGAAACTTTATCCTCGTTGTGTTGGAGTTTAACATCCCTACTGACTGAAGGCAGATCTTGGAGATGGAACATTAACTATGCTAGCTTTATCCACCCACCTACAATAAACATAAAAAAGGACTAGTAAATCAAGTAGGTGAAAATGAAAAACTTACTCTAAAGCAACATTTTAAAGTCTTTCAAATTTCACTATATATGAATTTTTGTGTTGAAACTGAACAAGCATGGCTTACATTCTATCACTCCAAAGCTCGTATATCCCATCTAGTCCTGACATGAGTACAGGCAGTAATGTGTTATATGCCTCTTGGTTCCATTGCAGTATAATCGCCACACCACTCACAAAGTAAAAGAGCATTTAACTCTATTTTGCATATTGGTTTTAGCATTAGGATATTAGATGTTTTAAGATTGTTTCAATATTATTCCTTGGGCTATATGCTTAAGAGTTATTTTATGCTTTAGTTCATTCATTTCTTGGTTAAATGCTTAGGAGTTTTACTCCATCCTTATGTTTAAAGACTTAAGGCATTGAAGTTTGAGTTCCACTCTATTGCCTTTGACACATGTGTTCAAGGGTTATTATTCTGCTCTATGGTTATCCTATACACCATATTAGTGGTGTTTGACACATTGTGCTACAAGATGCTACAAAACAAATTAATTGTTACAATTGCCAAAAGGAGAGAAGGGAGGAGAGATGTGTGTTATGTTTATTTTTTTTGTAGAAGGTAAAATTTCTATCCTTCTTATACAAAGCATTGTGAAAGGTATAATATTTCATCCTTTTTTTACTTTCCCCAAAGAGAGAATGTAAAAGATGACAATTACACTAATTATAACTTGTATGTAACATTTCATCTTTCAGTTAGTGCCTTTTTCTTATCTTGTGTTCTGAGGGCCAAGTGTATGGCTACAATGCCGCATACTAATATTAGCGTAGTGGGAGCCGTCAGATTGATTTCAATCTGGACCACTTGCTCCTGTATATAAGTTAGGGTTTTTTGGGCTAATATATATACACATTTTCTATATTCCCTTTCTATATTCTAAGCACTCACATTGGTGGAGATGAGGGGCACCCTTGATTGTCCCTGAGGAGTGCTTGAATTTGGGATTTTGGTTTAGATTTAGCTTTTTGCATCGTCTAGATTTAGCTTTTTCCATTTCCTTTCTTTTGTTCTTCCCTTCCAGAATTTTGGTTTAGATCTAGCTTTTTGCATTGTCTAGATCTCCCATTTCCTTCTTGCTTTTTGTCATTTTTTTTCTTTTGCTCTTTCTTCGTCCGTCTTCATGGTAGATCAGCAATCTCCTCCTTTTACTCTGGAGCAGCAGTTGGTACAATTTCTTGATGCTATGCGCTTGCAATTGAACAACCAAACTCAGTTGATAGCGGCGTTCACGGCATGTGGTACAACTCCTCTTGCTCTTGGTGCTAATCCTCGCGTTCGGCCGGAGTTCTTTCGCGGGAATCCTGCGGATGATATGTACCATTGGTTCAATCACTTCACGGTGATTGCCACATATCATTCTTGGGATGATGCTCAATGTTTGCGTGAGTTTCCCATGTGTCTCCAAGGGACGGCGTTGCAATGGTACAATAGTCTGAGCACAACCACTCGTGGGGATTGGAGTGTTCTCCCGGACGTCTTCAAAAGTGCCTTCGGACATGCCGACGACTATGATGATGCCTTCTAACAATTGCATCGTCTTCACCAAGGGCCATTTGAGTCAGTGATGCAATTTGGCATTCGTTTCCGAAGTCTTTTGTTTCGTGCGGAGCCCAATATGTCGGAGCGGATCAAGCTAGGAATGTTGTGGCTAGCACTTCATTAAGATCTTGTCGGACTTGTGCATGCACTTGCTCCTGCCACCCTTGATGATGCTCTTCGCTTGGCACAACGTTATGAGACGTCACCTCTTCCACTTCTTGCTGCCCGTCCTTTAGCTCCCCATCTGATTCCAACCGGGGATGCTCGTCCAATCAAGGTTCCTGTTCGTCGTCGGTCACCCAAGGAGATCAAAATTTTACGTGTAAACGTTAAGGAGATGTTGGAGAAGGGTGTTATTTGGAAGTCATAGAGTCCTTGGACATGTGAACCTCATTTTGTGACAAAGCCTGATGGGAGTATTCATTTATGCATCGACTATCGTCTGTTAAACGAAGTGACGATCCCAAATGTGCCACTACTAATCTCTTGGATTGTCTGGGGCGAAGTCATTGGTTCACCAAGCTAGATCTGGGTACTGGCAAGTACCGATGGCCGAAGAAGATATTCCTAAGACTGCTTTTCATACACCATTTGGTTTGTACGAGTTCTTGGTGATGCCGTTTGGTTTG